AAACCATTTCAGGTGACTACCTCTTGAAGCTCATGGAGAGAATGCCAAGAGTGTGCAAAGCAGTAATCAGAGCAAAGGGTGGCTATTTTGAAGAAACTAGAATATAAAACATGTTTTCAGTTATTTCACCTTTTTTTGTTAAGTACATAACTCCACATGTGTTCATTCATAGTTTTGATGCCTTCAGTGAGAATCTACAATGTAAATAGTCATGAAAATAAAGAAAACGCATTGAATGAGAAGGTGTGTCCAAACTTTTGGCCTGTACTGTATATCAACATCATCCATTTGCAGAGTATTGTCCCAGTTAATTTCTTTAATATCCTTCTTCATCTGTATGATTTTAGTCTTGGGGATTCCCATTTTTGTATTTTCTGGAACTTTACAGGGATATATCTGGAGGCGTTTTTTTGATAGTTTCCTTACAGCCAAAATCATGTTATGGTCAGATAATCCCATTATTAAATTATATATTTTTGTTATCCGTTCCTCTCTATTAGTGAAAATGAGATCAATCAAAGTTTTGCTATTTCTAGTTATTCTTATGGGTGAGTTGACCATTTGTTGAAAGTTGTATTTAGACATGATTGTTTTCAATTTTTGTTTACTTTTTTTGTCCAGCCAATTGATGTTAAAGTCCTCATATATAATAGTCTCTGATTTGTAATCAAGCTTTTTCATAACATCTTGCAAATCTTTGTAAAAGGAAATATTGTGTGATGGAGGGTTATACAAAATCACAATACTGAATTTAGTCTGAGGTGATAAAACTACATTCAGAGCAAGACATTCAAGAGAGGTGTTTAGTTGTATTTCATTACATTTAAGGGTATCTCTGATGTAAATCAAAACACGCCCTCCCTTGCCAAAAGATCTGTCCTTTCTGTAGCAAACATATCCAGGGATATTTATCATGTTTGTAGGAATATTATTATGAAGCCAAGTTTCACTCAGACAGAGATAGTCCACATTTGACTCTGTCAGTAATGTATGAATCTGATCTCCTTTTGCAATGATGCTTCTTATATTAAGATGTCCACCTAAAATCCCCTTGGATTGTCAATCCCATATCACTTTAGCATGGTTGACAGTCTGGAAGAAAAGATATTGTTTTTGTTTTCGCGCTGCCTGAGAGTCAGTGGGCCCAGCACCCACCTCTCCTCGCCGCAGCCTGGCCGGACCACCATCCCCCGCGTGCATGTCCCCCATGCTGGGCCCAGGCAGCGCCCGCACGCCTTCCGACCCACCTGCCAGCCCGTAGTCAGTGGGGAGCACCGCGCAGTCCGTCCGGAGTCCACACCGCTCACCGCCCGCCTGCGCCATCATCCGGCCCAGCTCCACCTGCTCCCGCAAGTGGCCCAGGCTCAAGACACTCTCATCCAAGCAGAGCGCTGCACCATCCCGCCCCGCATCACCGCGGGGAGCCAAGCCCAGGGCCGAGACACCTCCATCCAGGCCAGGCACCGCACAACCCCGCCCCGCGCCGCCGACCGGAGCCCTGGCCAACTCGGCAGCTGGTATGTGTCTCGGCGTGGTGTAATTGCTGGTAGTTTGAAGGATTACAGGTGGCCCTGGATTCAGTTGTATATCACCAGCGAGTAGTAACAGTAAAAATATTGTCTTCGCTGCGTGCCATTTATCCTGTTGGTTGGAGGATTTGACAGCTTTAGTTTGACCGCTGTGTTGGCCGTTTCATATACAGATTGAGTAGATGACGGTTTGTCCGTGTCCGAAAAGGTTCAGTTTAGTGCTTCCAGAATAAAGTCCTGTCACCCCGTTTTTTAGGGATTGGTTAAGACATATTTCAGAATGAAAACAGGAGCTGATAGAGATAAGTAGTAGCCAGCTACACAGCAGCAGCATGCAAACTTTTCCTTTGTTTGCGTGACGGTACTTCACCTGAGTTCCTTGTTTTGGCCGTTTCTTTGCAGCGTTACTAAACGGCTGAAATGCACGATTAAAACCATTTTTAAACATACCCCATAGCAGCTGGATAGTTGTTAGTAACTGGATGCGAGTGGAGCCTAACAAACCACCCCCGTCCTCTGCCGCCATGATGTTTTTGTCCAACATCCACAGTGAGATACACACGGCTGACTATTTACTGCTGAATTACAGTTCACAACTTCCACCAATTGCTGATGTTGCTCTGGTTGTTGCTGGCTAGTGAAACATCCTGGTGCAGACTATTTACTAGACTTTGCCAGCCTGTCGTTCATGTGGCATTTGAAGATAATTACAAGCATGGCCATTCTTGGTGTTCAATGTCGATAGGCCACCAAAAACATTTTCATTACAGCTTGTTTCTTCATTGAAAATGAAACAGAGATTTAGTCTTAGTTTTTATTATCAAGATCTATTTTTAGGTCATCATTGGCTATGGTTACATGATGGCTTCTCATTCAGAATGAAATAAATATGAATGAAATCATTCAGAATTAAAGTTTTTCCAGGTAGTTTACATGAGAAATATTCATTCCAAATAAGGGTTTACACGGGAGATCAGTTTAATCGCCTATATTTGGGTCTGCGCAAGGTTTGGGGCAGGGAAGGTTTCTGATTGGATAGGGGGTGGGGATGTTACGTGTTTACGTTTACCGGAAGAAAACACTGTAGTCCTCGCTCCGGATAACAAGATGCTTGATGATGCCGTTCTTAGTGCCTTTTTTGGGCTTGTTTTGCTTATATTCTTGAAGCAGCAGTAGGACAACAACCTTGTTCTGCTAATGCTTTGTTGAGGAGGAGAAGAGAGGTAGAAGGTCGAAGAAAGGAGATAGAAGACTGTGCTTTGGCGTATGGAAACCAGTGAGTGCAATGAGTCCGACTGTTCTATCTCAGCCCGTTGCTATGCGCGCTATATACGTCATTGCTCCAGAAGGGCAAGGAAACAAGCATGAGCAGAAAGACCGGAATAAACTTAAAGAGGAATTAGCGTTTACGTGCACGCAAAATTCTTTCATTCGGAATGACAAACGGAATAAACCACCCCCTTTAATCGCATTTAATTTTCAGTCGGAATGACCATTTTTCAATCGGAATGGCCTTTCATTCCGAATGAAAGTGGAATTAAACTGTCCATCTAAACGTACTGAATGTCTTGTTTTCGTCATGGATAAAGGTTGTTTGACGAAAACTTTTTGTCATAGTTTTTGTCAACAAAATTAACACTGCTCTACCCTACAGCTGTGTCCACCTTCCTGCACAGATCCCACACAGCCCATGTTGTGGCCAAGTGATCATATCCACCATGAACTGTGCTACATGACTTGTTTTTGTATATGTATTATTATTGTATATATACAGTACAGGCCAAAAGTTTGGACACACCTTCTCATTCAATGCGTTTTCTTTATTTTCATGACTATTTACATTGTAGATTCTCACTGAAGGCATCAAAACTATGAATGAACACATGTGGAGTTATGTACTTAACAAAAAAAGGTGAAATAACTGAAAACATGTTTTATATTCTAGTTTCTTCAAAATAGCCACCCTTTGCTCTGATTACTGCTTTGCACACTCTTGGCATTCTCTCCATGAGCTTCAAGAGGTAGTCACCTGAAATGGTTT